GTGGATCCACTCTGATTTTGAGTACCCCTTGCTAATTTTACTTACTCTACCGTAAGTGTTTTATTCAGGTTTTCACGGGCGGATATCCACCAAATGGAGTAATGTGGGTCGATGAATGTGTAGAATTTCATCGAGTATGGTCTGCTCTTCAGTTTTTCATTTGTCAACCTCGTGTCACTGATGACGACAGACTTGTAGAGTGAGTTCATTGGGTAGTAGTAGTCACTCCTTGCTGCAACCAATTCTTTCTCATTTGAAGGGAACTGTTCGGCGATTCACTGCAGTGGGCTGGCATGTCTATAATCGCTTTGTTGTCACAACATAGACGTTTCGAAGTCCTCGATTTCTCTTATCACCTTCATCGAATTCAGAAGTTTGACGGAAAGGACGATACTGTTAATGGAGTTGTACGTCCACTCTTTCTTTTGTTTTCTTTGCCAGCCTAATCAGCTTCGATTTCAGCGTTTGAGTCGTATGGTGGAAAGAATTCGGCGTTTCCAGCTGCTGAACTCACAGATTCTTACGATTCTTGGCAATTTCTTGACAGCAAACGAAGAGTATGAGGAGGAGCACGTGCGAGAGTTCATGCCACCTACACATCCCTCTCTTACTTCACAGTTTCCGGTGGAATCGTAGCCGTAGCTTGTTAACTCTCGATCTCTTCTGGAATATATAAACAGGAATGATCGTAAGGAGAGGAGTATTTCAATACGGGACCTGCCATCATTGCTTTCCGAAACACAGCGAATAGGACTGTTTCTCACGATATTACACAGGCTTGTTTCACTGATGCACTCACTAATAAATCATTCGTAACTTACTAGCTTCCTAAGAAAAATAAAATGAGTGTTGTTGAATGGTCCGACTGGCCATAAGTCAGATAAGGAGGCCAATGAATTTGAGATCTGGTCAATGGAGGGTCTGCAGAAAATGTAGAGATTGAAAGAAAAGCGCGAACTTTTGAAAAGACAGGATGTAAAGGCACCGTACTAGGTTGTCCCATAAGTTCGTGACTTTTTTAATTTCGCTATTAGTTCTCTAGCGATTTCGGAAAGTTTCGGAAAAATTTCCAGTTTTTCGACCTATGCAAAGCATCCACAGACGGTTCGACCCCTATAGCGGCTGTTTTCCGTATAAAATGGCGGATGAAAATTTGCATATTCTTCGTGCTCTGTTATAAGAGTTTCAGCAGGGCCACGATAGAGCCGAGGAAACGCGGATCATTTGCTCAGCATTCGCTCATGTACGGTGTCGAAATTATCGACCTTTTAGCCCAGGTGAATTGATCTGGAAAACAAACCTAGGTCAGGGAGGCCATCTGTGTTGAAACTGGACCGGTGTGATCCTTGATTGAAGCCAGTCCATACAAGTGAACTTGCTCTCTAGTGCTGGCCCTTGACTGCCCCAGAACACGATTGACAGAGATCCTTCATCTAATGGAAAAGTGTAGAAGCTTAGTAGATTCCCCATGACCCGTCTTTGAAGGATCAGACGCATCCCGCTCCCGCCGTACGGACTGCTTTAACACAGGCCTCACTGAGTTCAGACTCAGCCGAATTGCAATCCAGAAGGCTCGAAATATCAATGAAGCTTGGGGCAAGAAAGTATTGGGGATGCCGCATTACTGTTGCTTTAAAATTTGCGTCACGATGAGTTTGAGAAGGTGAGGAAGGAGGCAGACCTCCTTTCACCATGGACGGAGACCTTGGCGGAAGAAGATTCACGTAAAGGTGAGCGAGAACTTACTCGGTGTGTGTATTTGACCGGAAATTCATAACTTCCTTCAAATCAGCCGTAAGCGTTCGAATTGACAAGTGATATAGGGTTCGACGGGTATAGGTGGGACATAAATTGATAACGACTGATAAGAGCTGATAAGCGGCCTTATAAGGTCAGGTTCAGCAAATTCATAACTCGCGTCACAGCAACGGTGGAATGTTGGTTCCAAGGAGTGACACTGGAAGGGGAGGGGTGCTGAACATCATTGGTGGGTGGCAGGATAACAGCTGCCAAGGGCTGACAGAGGGCCTCAAAAGGGGAGGGTCACTGGAATCAGAGCTCGCCTCACAGCAACGGTGGAATGTGGTTGCGAGAAATGGTATATCGCGCTGGACGTGAACACCATTGGTGGGCGGCAGGAGGTGATAACAGCTGATAAGATACCATAGGATCCTTTTTAAAGAGAGTGCTCCCGAAATTCATACCGCTAGATAGAAACAGTGGGGAACTGCTTACAACAAGTAATTCAGCTATTGCTAGGAATCATTGGTTGCGGGAGATAGGTTTTGATGAAGTTTCCGATAAGGGCTTCAGAAGTTAGTCATAGGTTTTGATGAAGTTTCCGATAAAAGCTTCAGAAGTTAGTCATAGGTTTTGATGAAGTTTCCGATAAGGGCTTCAGAAGTAAGTCTTTGTTCGCATCTGTTCCCTCCTAGCGACCCCCCACTCATCTTTCGATCGCTAGGCTGTCCCTATTCCCAACGAATGGTGAGTGTTATT